GGGGGGGGGGGGGGGGGGATCAAGCCTAAATCGCTCTTGTCTCTTAAGACCTGGCACTCGCCTGTGTGATGTAAAACCCTGCACCCATCCGAATAGAGGCGTTCGCGAACAGCCGGCCGCAACCAACCCAAGGCGCGTGAAACGGCGGGAGTAGCACAGCAAGCGTCCGAGGGGCCCGTCGAAAAAACAAGCAGGCAAATGGGGGTAACAAACACACGGCCATATGAGTGAAGGCAGAGGGCTACACCGCGTGGCAAACGAGCGTCGACGCGGTACTATGGCCAAGGGGAACGGTGTGGAGGACGACGTGGGGAGCAGAGTGGGGGAGGGGCAAGACCGCCGCCTGAGGTCAAAAATTGGGCGGTGCTTGTACGCCGCGGCGAGTGAGGATGGTTTCCACGTCGGAAAGGAGAGCGATTGGATGAACACCCTGATAAAGAAAGGACGGATCTTGAACGGAGAAGCAGGCACCGCGCATCCCTCTACATCTCCGCGCAAGCAGAGGGAGAGAACCCGCGGCCACAAGCGGACAGACAAGAGGCAATCCACCGTCTTCCGACAATCACAGCTGCATCCACAGCGGCAGCAAGAACTGCAACAAAACATGCGTTGCACCTGAGAAGAGGATGAAGATGGTCATGAGCGGGGGCCCGATAGCATTGGCTGCGTCGCCGTCCTTGGCCACGCAGCCGACCAACATCCCGAACGCCGCCGCGGCAAACGCCTCGAGGGTGAGAACTCCCAGAAACTTCGCCAGCCTGCCAGTAAGGATCCCATCAAAGGAGCGACAACAGGGTGCCAGATAACCTGAACAGGTTGGCCACCAACGTTTCCTTCACTTTCTTTGTTAAAATATGTGTATCAACGTTTTGTTCGCCGCATAGTCCTTGTTTTTGCGCCGGTGCGTCTGAGTGCACAAACCAAAAAGAAATACGTGAATCTGGCGTTCAGAAAAGATGGGAAGACGACCACAGCATCACGGTGTGATGGCCACGATCGAATGTGGTGATGGACGCTTGCGCTATGGCGAGCAGCGTAAATCAAAACATTTATCGCTTGATATGCATCACCTTTCCGACCGTGTCGCCAAAGCACGACACCGCAACTCTTTTATGGAGAGTACAACAACTTTATCGCAATACACCGGAACCTCATGCCCCTTCAGCCAGTCGAGCACATACCATCATACGTACACCCTGCTGTTGTTTACATAACAAAGACACTACGCGCCCTTTTTTCGCCTACAGCGTCGGGTTCACGTCATGCGATGATGCCGAAATGGCTCCTTCTACCTGTCGCGCTTCGGGTGCAGGCCGGTCATCTTGTACATCACCGCGCCCGAGACCGTGGGGAAGAGGGCCGTTAGCGGAAGGTCGGCGATCATCTTGGCCAGGAAGTAGGGCAGGACGCTGTACATGTTCAAGCTTCGCTCCGCCTGTCTCGCGAGGATAATCCCGACCACGGGTCGATCAATCAGCAGCCAGAACCCGACCCCACAGCGAAGGGTTGGGGGGGAGAGGGCTTGGAGTAAAGGATTGGATGTTGGGACAGCATTCGGTACGGCAGGCACACTGTGCACACGCGAAGGCTTTCGTCAATCACTTCGACATGCGAAGGCGATTTGTTGCTAATAGTCTACTGATGCCATGTCTGCCCAACACTCCCAATCAGTCTCGCCTCAACGCCACCCCAACTTCGCACACGAGCAAGACAACGAGGGTACGAAATTCCGACGCCCCGTCTTCCGCCAGGAAACCATACCACAACAACAACATCCACGGCGCGCCATACTGCTGTGGCGCATCGAACAAACAAACAAAGAACTTGTCTGTCTGTCTGTCTGTGGGGCGTGATATGCCGCACACGGCATCAAGCCGCACCAACCTTGGCAGCCGTTACAGCCCCTTGAGGGGCACCTATTACTTGACAATTATTGTACCTTGACAATCGTTGCCTCTTTCGGGAAGGTGACGAGAGTCTTGGCCACGGTGGACATCGCCGTCTGGATCACAGACGTCTGCTCGGTAACAAAAAAAAAAAGAAAAGAGAGGGGGGGGGGATGTG